TCAAGAAAGCTTGGATTTAAAAGGAAAATCACCAAAACACAATAGACCAAATTCTCCATATATGAATTAGTTGATTTTGGGTGGGGAAAGCTGGTTTACGCTAAACTCAATGCTTCAATTGTGTATATTCTTGTCAAAATTAAGGAGTAGAGCCAAGTGGGGCAATTGTGGTGCGTATCTACTTGCCTCACTCTACCACTAATAGATTTATGGAGTACTATGTTTGAAAAATTCATGCCAAGAGCAGGCATGGAAGTTATAGTGCTTTTTTTTTTTTTTTAAATCAACTACAGTGGTTAGGAGTGGGAAAGTACTAAAAAGGAAGAAGATCCAGGCTATTGGACTAAAGTGTGGTGCAAACTACAACAACCAAGATGAACAGTCCATAGAGGGAGCTGTTGTATATTGCAAGGATGTCTTCAAGATGCCTCAGTGGAGAAGATGAACAGTCCATTTCCTTTAACTCTTTTTTATCTTTAATTATGTCTTTTTAGAGTTAATCCATTAATATGTAATAATAAATGTTACCTATTAATCATTTAAGTTTCTAAATGGTCCTTCATCATTTAAGTTAATTAAATTTAAATTTGTAATTCATTAATTAAAAAAAAATGAATCAAAATAGTAGGTCCACTAATAAATTGGTATGGAGGGTAAAACAGAGAAGAAAGAATATTTCAAGGGGTATTTATGATATTTAAAGTGGAGCCCAGATGAAAAAAAAGGGGGAGCGAAATGCCACGTTGTAAAAAATGGGTTGAAATTGGATTGTAGTCGTGTCCAATTCAACAAAAATAGCCACCTAAGATTCCACGGTGTTTAAAAAGTCAGACTTAACATGTAGTTAACGAAATGATGATGTCACAAGACGTGGCAAATCAAATAATGGGTTATTTGTTCAAATTGAAAACTTTACAGGTGGATTTGTTCTTGTTTTTTATTCGAAAGTGGATCCATCTTTACTGCCTAACTTCGAAGGTGGATATAGGTATTTTACCAAAAAAAATTACCTCCGTTCTTGTCTCACGAAAAAAGAATATTTTGAAAATTTCCATTCCTGCAATGGAGATCTCCATAAAGTTTCATGAGTCATGAAGGAAATTGCCAACCCTAATTGTTGTCATGGAAAAAGTGTTTTAATTGTTATTTTATCGTGATATAATTTTTTTAAATAGTTAGTTATGATATTTAAAAATATTTTATTGATAAAATAATTTTAATAAATTAAATAATAAATATTGATTATTTCATTATCTGTTATTTATTTTTAATGATCCAATTAATATAAAAATTTGACAATTTATATAATCATAACAAATTTAAGTATCATAATAACCAGAGCCTCCACCCATCTCCTTTTTTGCAAGTCACATTCCCTAGAGTTTGTAACCTGTTAGTTTGTTCGGCTACTTCCTGAGATAATTGTTATGGGATTTTGTAATATATAATTATAATATTACATGATATTATAAAATTATAATTATGATGTATTATCAAATAATTGATTATTTTTATTTAATAGTATATTTAAGTTGAGGAGAATAAAAGGAAGAGAAGAAAGCCTTTTGTTTTTTTTTTTAATATAATTATTTATTCAAATGAGAGAAGAAGAGAGAAATAGAGGAAAATGAAAGAAAACAATTTTCCTTTTTTTTTCCTCAACTAAAATATATAACAAGAGTTTTTTAGATATGTTATATATATTAATTTATTTAATAATACGTTATAATTATAAATTTACAACTATACGTAATACTGTAACCATAAGTCCCATTGTTCACTTCTTCTTTTTTTTTATTTAACAGAAGAAATTTGGAGAAAGGGGGCTAATTACAAGATAACCGTAATTGAAGATTAAAAAACAAAAACAAAAAACAAAAAGGAA